TACGAGTAGATGTCCCCCCGCAGCATCACGTCAAAATAATCATTCAGTACTTTATAATAGCCGCCCTGTTCCAGCCCAATACCAAACTGGTCGTTGGCAGCAAACTGGGGTGCCAGCAGACCTGAATGCCTGCCCTGCGATAACGGGAAAAAACCAAATGGCAGGTATACGGGTATTGGTACCCCCTCAAATTCCGGGTGAATGGGACCGGTAACTACCAGCTTCTGGTTTACAAATTTCATCTTGTTGGCACGAAAGGCAAAATGCGGCGTATCCAAATCGCAGGTAGTGAAGGTACCCCGGGAGGCAAAATATTCGTTGGCAGAAATCTTTTTCATTTTCTCGCCATGTATAAACATTTCCTGCTGGGTGGTATAGCTGTTTTTGGTAATGCCCTTCTGTGTTTTGAAATTAAAGGCCAGGCTGTCTACCTGCATATTGTTTTCGCCCTGTTCAAACTTGGGCAACCCCACTCTTTTGCCGGCCGTATCCAGGAAATAATAGCCGTACACATTCTGGTTGCCCTGGTCAAGGTTAATGATGCCTGCATCCAGTTTAATGTCTTTGTATTTTACGTTGGCATTGTTGTACAGCCAGATCTTTTTCTGGGGTACGTCCATCACCATGGAATCGGAGGCTGAATATTCTACGGGGGCGTCCAGCGAGTCTTTGGACACTTTTACATCGAAGCTATCTACTTTCTGCAGCGCCTTTCCCGTAGTATCTTTAACACGGTTCGCAGTATCGCGGAGGCGGGGCACGGTATCGGCCCTGGCAGTGGCTTTACTGCCGCCGGCAGGCAATCTGGCGGGAACGGTATCCCCCGCAGCTGTTAAATCGTTGTAAAAAAACGAAGTAGAAGGATAATTTGACGCACTGAACAACGTTATACTGCAAAGCATTACCCCAAGGGCAATGACCACAACATATTTTGAGTTACCTTTGGATTTGTTGTTCATGGTTAACAATGAGGCAAAAATAACGTTTCACTACATAAGATAATGTGAAGAATATCAAACCCCTAAAAAGATTTTTACGGAATGATGAAAAGATTTTTGGTTTTTAACTGCGTTTTGACAATCGGCATTTTGCTATCTGCTTTTACGGTGAATGATCATGGAGACAGCAACAGGGGCAGGCTGGCTACCATTAAAACTGTTATTATTGACCCCGGCCATGGCGGTCTTTACCCGGGTACCAAAGGACTTATCTCCAAAGAAAAGGATGTAACGCTGGAAATAGCGTTGAAATTGGGAGAAGCCATAAAAACCAGTTTCCCCGATGTAAAAGTGGTGTATACCCGCACCACCGATGCCTGTGCCGGTGGCGCTACCAATCTGAAAGACGATCTCAGCACCCGGGCACGCATTGCCAATGAAGCCAAGGGCGATCTGTTTATCAGCATACATTGCAACGCTACCGTGCAGCCTGCGGGCGGCTGGTATGCCAAACGCGTAGTGGGCCACAGGAAGAAAACGGTGATGGTGGGCAAAGGCAAGCGCAAAAAGAAGAAAACGGTAATGGAACCCATTTACGAATCTTACTGGGTAAAGAATACCCGTACCGGTACAGAAACCTATGTATGGAAGGCCTCCAAAAATGTTGACAAGTACAAAGCCATTAATAATAATGATGAAACCTATGGTGAAGTATCTGAAGACAGCACCGCGGAAGCATCGGCTTTTAATACAGACTCTCCTGAGTGGGTTATACGCACACAATTGTATGAAAAGCGCTTTTTAAACAACAGCATATTGCTTTCTTCTCTGGTAGAAGAAGAATTCAAAAACAGGGGCCGCACCAGCTATGGCGTTAAACAGCGCGACGTAGGTATACAGGTGTTACAGGCTACCGGCATGCCGAGTATTCTTGTTGAAACCGGCTTTCTCAGCAACAAAGAAGAAGAAGAATACCTGAACAGCAATAAGGGGCAGGAAGAAGTGGTAGCCGATATTGTTGAAGGGTTCAGAAAATACAAGCAGTCAATGGAAAATAAGGGCAGCAAGCCGGCGGCTGCTAACGGTAAGAAATAAAACCGGCGCAGGATGGTAAAAGGCTGTCTGTAACGCGCCAAATTCCGAAAAAACAGTATGAGGGTTCAGAAAGGAAATCAGACATCAGCAAATCATACATCAGACATTTCCACTAGGTTTGCAGCACAGAATTCCGATGAACCCATTTATTTATTAATATCCTGTTCATGAAAGTATCAAATGAAACCAAAGTTGGTGCACTGGCGGCGGTCTCTATAACATTGCTCATACTTGGTTTTAATTTTTTGAAAGGGAAAAACCTTCTCAGCAAAGCCAATACTGAAATCTATGCTGTATTTCAAAAAGTAGACGGACTGAACGTAGCCAACCCGGTTACCATCAACGGCCTGCAAATTGGCAAAGTATATGAAATGCGCGAAAAAGACCGTGATCTCAGCGGTATTGTAGTAACTATCAACCTGATTAAAGACGTAGATATTCCCAAAAATTCTTTTGCCACCATCAGTTCGGATCTGCTGGGCGCCGCTACGCTTACCATTACCCGTGGCGACAGCAAAGACCTGATGAAAAACGGCGATACCCTGCTCACCCAGAACACGTCCGGCTTTATTGACGGCATACAAGCCTCGCTGAACCCTGCACTGACCTCTGTAAACGGCGCAGTTCAGAGCCTGGACTCCCTCTTAAAAGTAATCGGCACCTATTTTGACCCCGCCACCAAGAATAATTTCCATGCCATCATTGGCAATCTTACCAAAAGCTCTGCAGAACTGCAGATAATGCTGAACTCACAAACAGGCGACCTGGCCAAAACACTGGGCAATGTAAATGCGTTTACTGCCAACCTTGCCAAAAACAACAATAAAATAGACACCACGCTCAATAACCTGGCCCAGGCAAGCGGTAAATTTGCCAATATTAAAATTGATGAAACGCTCAGCAGCCTGCAGGGTGCGGTAAATGAACTGAAAGGCGTAGTGGCCAAAGCCAACAGTAAGGAAGGGTCTATCGGCCTCCTGTTAAATGATCCCAAATTGTACAGAAATTTAGAAAGCACCACCTACAAATTGAATATTTTGCTGGATGATTTCAGAACGCATCCAAAACGGTATGTAAACGTAAGCGTCTTTGGAGGCAAAAAAGACAAAACCGGATCGCTTACGGCACCATTGGTAGACGATTCTACCAGTAACCCCACACCGAAAAAATAATTGATGTTTAAATTTCTTGCTGGCTGTTGCATTTTTTTCCTGGCCACTGCTTCCCCCACTGCCGCGCAGGACACCCTCTCCCGCCCGCCCGCAGATACCGTAAGCATTGTAAAACAGGTACACAGCGACCGGCTCCGTTTTCAGAAAATAGACTCAGTAACCCAGCTGCAGATGCTGGCCGGTCATGTGGAACTGGAGCAGGATAATACAAAATTCTATTGCGACAGTGCCGTCATTAATAAACACCTGAACATACTGGAGGCATTTGGCAATGTACACATCAATGATGCAGACAGTATCCACACCCGTGGCCAGTACCTGATATACCATATAGATACCAAAACCGCTGTACTGAAGAAGAAAGTATCGCTTACAGACGGCAAAGGCATACTCACCACCGAAGAACTGCAGTACGACACGAAGGCCAAAACCGGCACTTACAATACAGGCGGCAAAATAGTGAACGGCAAAACAGTTATTACCAGTAAAGAGGCCACTTATTATGGTGATCTGAAAGACGTTTACTTTAAGAAAAACGTAGTAATGAAAGACCCGGCTTATGATCTTACTACAGATTCGCTGCTGTATAATACAGATACAAAGATGGCCACCTTCATAACCAAAACCCTCATTAAAGACAGCAGCGGCGCCAATATTGTTACTACAGACGGCTATTACGATATGCAAAACCGGCGTGCCAGCTTTGGCAAAAGATCGGTGATTAATGACGGGAAAGGCGTTACCCTCACCGGCGATGATATTCATACCGATGACTCCACCGGCATCACCAGCGTAAGGGGCAATGCTGTATTTATAGACACTGCGCAGAAGATATCTGTATTATCCAACTTCTTTGATATCGACAAAAAGAAAAACAGCTTCCTCGCCACGCAGCGCCCGCTGATGATCATCCAGCAGGACAAAGACTCTATATACGTTACGGCAGATTCTATGTACAGCGCCCGGATAGCTGATATCAGGGATTCTGCCTATCGCAGTCTGGGGTACCTGAATATACCCATACCCGCAAGAGACAGCACCGTAAAAAAAGACAGCCTGCTGCAGAAAAAAGCCATTGCCGGTAAAGAAACCAAACTACCCAAAGACACTATTAAGAATACGGTTGTTGTGGGTGCAAAAGACAGCAGCGATATCCGCTTTTTCCAGTGCTACCATCATGTACGCATATTTTCTGATTCATTGCAAGCGGTATGCGACAGCCTGTTTTACTCCGCCAGCGATTCTGTGTTCCGCCTGTTTACCAAACCTATTGTGTGGGCCAGCGGCAGCCAGGTAACCGGCGATACTATGTACCTTTTTACAAAGAACAAAAAAGCCGACCGTGTTTACGCTTTTGAAAACAGCCTGGCCATCAATAAGGCCGGGGAAAATATGTTTAACCAGATAAGCGGTAAAACGCTGAACGGTTATTTTAAAGACGGTTCCATTGATTATATGCGCACCAAGGGCTCCCCGGCCCAGAGTATCTATTACGCCAAAGATGAAGGCGGCGCCATTGTGGGTGTTAATAATGCCAGTGGCGATGTAATTGATATGCGCTTTGAAAACAAGGAGCTGAAGAAAGTGGTTTTTGTAAGAGATGTCACCGGTACCATGTATCCCTATAAGCAAACACCTGCCGACAAAAAACAGCTGCGCAATTTCAAATGGCAGGATGAGAAAAGGCCGAAGACGAAGTTTGAGTTATTCGCGGATTAGTTGATCAGTAACACACAGTTGGTCAGTTGATTGGTCTTCCGCTGTTTTGCGCTGCACTTCGGTTATTGGTGAAAATACCGACACTGGCTGCCAGCCACGCTGGTGGGACGGCGGTAAATCCATTATGAAAGTTTTAATTTGCGCCGCAACCAATCAACCAATCAACCAATCAACCAATCAACCAATCAACCAATCAACCAATCCCCAACCTTAACAGCATTTTACAACAGCCCATACCTCACCCGGCATTATTTTTTCGTTCTCACTATCAAACACTATTACCATGAATAAATATTTGCTGGCTTTTTTACTCTGCAGTGGGTTTGCGATAAACGCTGTATACGCGCAGGACGGCGCCCCGGATTATAAATTGGGCCTTGGTATCCGTTTCAGTAATTATGCCCCTACCCTCAGCAATTCCGTTTCTGTAAAGTATTTCTTGAAAGAGAACGCGGCTGTAGATGCATTGATCTCTTTTGGTGGCAGCCGATTTGGTATTGGTGGCCTGTATGAAATTCATACCCCACTGAATGCCACCGCCGGACTGAAATGGTATTATGGTGGTGGCGCCTATGTGGGTTTCCAGAGTGGTGAAACCTACCTTGGGCCAACAGGCGTAATTGGACTTGACTATAAATTTCCAAATATACCGCTGAACCTCAGCTTAGACTGGAAGCCTGAACTGGATATTATCCCGCGTATTAATTTTGTGCCGGACGCGTTTGGGTTAACGGCCCGTTTTACGATTCAATAGGGCTAGCGAACAAAGAGAAGAGGAGCAAAGAAATAGTTAGACAAACTATCTCTTTGCTCTTTTTTATTGTAAAGCGTTCGCCAAAGTATTCAATAGACATGTAATACGGTTTTTTACCTTGAAACGATTTCACACTTTTTTCGCTTAGGCCGTTCTGCCTTACATCGCCCTTAGCCCTCTTTTTCTCCTATGTTCTCTTAAGCACTCCATTTCTCTTTCTGCTCTTAGATTAAATCTTTTGCCAGATGCAGCAAAAAACCATTAAAAAGCCTCTTAATTTTGCAGGCTTTTTTTGCTTTTTGCGGTTTTTTGCGGTTTTTATTTTAATATTGGGAATACTTTAGCATTTCGCCAACTTTTGCCTCCCTGCAGTTGGAAAGTGCTTCCGGGTACTTTACAGCTTGCGCAAACCTTATTGTAACGCCTGACTATCCATCTTCCTGTGAAATAAAGCTTGACCGGCAAAATGCATGATTGCATATGCCCTTATTGCAGGCCATTACACTAACCAAAACACTAAACATGTCAACACAATCCACCTTCACTGCCATTGCCGCGTTGCGCCAACACCCAAGTTTCCGGCAATCATTCCGAAAACTACCGGATTGCATTATTAAAAGGTAGCTGCAACAAATCTAATCTGCTAAAGAACATCCTTTATTAATCATAGATTCTACCATCAAAACAACTGTTATGCGAAAATCTCTTTTGTATTTATTACTCCTGGTCTTTTCCTGCAGTACACTTGCAGGATATGCACAGGAAAAAACCGTGACCGGTAAAGTGCTCTCCGATGGAGAAAATGCGCCTTTGCCAGGTGTTACAGTGCGTGTAAAAGGCAGCAACAGGGTAAGCCAGACCAATACTGAGGGCTTGTTTACCATTAAAGCCAGCAAAGGGGAAACCTTGCTGCTTACCTATGTTGGCTACGATCTGGCCAGCATTTCCATAGGAGATGGCACTATGGTATCGGTTAAAATGAAAAAAACGGATGCCCAGCTGGGCGAAGTGGTGGTAACCGCGATGGATATTAAACGCAATCCGCGCGAACTGGGTTATTCTGTTCAAACTGTAAAAGGATCCGACATTGCGCAAACACAGAGAGAGAATTTTGTAACCGGTTTACAGGGAAGGGTGTCCGGCCTCACGGTAACGCCCACATCAGGAGCAGCGGGTGCCTCTGCAGGCATTGTATTGAGAGGTTTCAATACGCTCTCGGGCAATAACCAACCCCTGTTTATTGTAGACGGTATTATACTGGATAACCAGACGCTTAACTCCAATTCACAAAGCGGCAGTGGTATTGGCCTTGCCTCTGATGGCAATAACCGCAACAACGACAATACCAACCGCATCGCTGATCTTAACCCCAACGATATAGAATCAGTAACGGTGTTGAAGGGCCCGGAAGCAACAGCCTTGTATGGCAGCCAGGCCAGTTCCGGCGCCATTGTAATTACCACAAAAAAAGGAAAAAGCACCAACAGCAAATTGCTGTTAAACTATGATAACAATTTCCGCTTGCAGAAAATCACCCGCTACGGACTGGTGAACAATGATTACAGTCCGGGTACCAGCAATAATATTCCGTTTGTAAGTCCCACCATTGCTGGTTCATTTACTTCATTTGGGCCCGCCTGGAAAGCAGGTACACAACTGTACGATAATCTTCACCAGTTTTTCCGCACCGGGTTTTCCCAAACCCATAACCTGAGTGCAGAATTTGGCAGCCAGAATGTGGGCTTCAGGGTCTCAGGTCAATACTTCGACAGCAAGGGCGTTGTACCCAACAACAGCTATAAAAGATACAATATCAAAATTTCCAACACTACCAGAATCGGCAAATACATCACTCTTACACCATCCATTGGCTATACCAATGCAGAGAACCTGCGGCCGCTGAAAAGCTCTACTTCTACAGCAGGTGCTGGCGGCTACCTGGTAGAATTGTATCAGTGGCCGGCCAATAATGATATCAGGAATTTTGAAGATGCCAAAGGGAATAAGCTGCTAACATTTAACCCCAACCGCAACAGCGATTTTGACAATCCGCTGTGGAGCGCTAAATACAACCGCAGCAGTGACGTAAACAAACGCATCGTAGCAACGATGGGTATTGATATCAATCCCTTTCCCTGGTTATCTGTAGCCGGCAGGTTTGGTTATGATACTTACAAAAACGATGGCTTTGTGTTTATCCACCCCCAGTCATTTATGGTGAGCACCGCCATTGCCGGCAGCCTTGACAATTACTACCGTACCTATACCGGCTACAACCATACCATTACCGCAACCGTTAAAAAGAAAATCGGTGATTTCTCCACCAGGTTACTGGTAGGTACCATGTGGCAGGATTTTCAGACAAAGCAATTTGCGATATACGGTACCAACCTGATTGACAGCACCCGCACCGACAGCAGCAACACGGCTATAAACACAAGAAGGCGTTTGCTGAGAAACAACAGCGGGCAGCCCAATGTGAACATCTTCCGTGAAATTGCTTATTTCGGGGAAGCTTCCGTGGGGTACAAGAACGTCATCTTTCTTACCTACTCTCACCGGTTTGAAAGTGCTTCGCCTATTCCAAAAGCCAACCGCAATTATAACTATCCCGGTGCCAGCCTCAGTGTTATACTTTCTGATATGATCCCGGCACTTAAAAGCCAGGACGTAGTAAACTATATTAAACTGCGCGGTTCGCTGGCCAGCACCGCCCGGTTGAACGACCCCTACTCCAACCAGGCCTTTTTTGTAAACAATTTCAGCAGCACAGCAACAGCGCAAAGTTTTACTTACGGCTTTACCAATGCCAACCCCGACCTTACGCCCGAACGGCAAAAGACCTACGAAGTTGGTATGGAACTCAGGTTTCTTAACAATGCTGTTTCACTGGAAGCAGCCTACTACAATACGCTTTGCACCAACCAGATTGCACAGGGGTACAGGGCCAGTTATGCTACCGGTTTCATCCTGAACACCCAAAACGCTGCTTCACTGCGCAACCAGGGTATAGAACTAACGTTGAACCTTAACCCAGTAAAAAAACCAGACTTCACATGGAATATTGGTTTTAATTTCAGCCATATGTGGAGCAAAGTGCTTACGTTACCGGCATCCATCGACCTGTTAAAAGACTTTTACAACTCAGATACCTATATCAGCAATGTAAGAGCCGGCCTGGTGAGAAACTACTCTACCGGCACCCTTACCGGATCTACCTACCAGCGCAATAACGCCGGGCAGATTCTAATCGACCCGTCTACCGGTATCCCTTTAACCACCGGGGCAGGCTCCAATACAGTAATTGCAGACAGAATTCCGGACTTCACTTTAGGAACGCTGAATACATTCCGTTATAAAAACTGGAACCTGAGTTTTCTATGGGACCTGAAAGTGGGTGGTGATATCTACAACGGAACAGATCAACTGCTCACCGGCCTTGGCAAAAGTGCCAGAACAGCCAACCGCGGTGTGCCAATAGTGGTAGAAGGCGTTTTGAATGATCCTTTAAGAAACAGTGCTACGCCTACAGTAAATACATTACAGATTATACCCCAGTACCTGAGCACATATTATACTACCATGCCGGATGAAGAATTCATCCAGAAAGATGTAAACTGGTTCCGCCTGCGCGATGTGACGCTGAGTTATACGCTGCCGCAAAAAATGGTAAAAAGGCTGCGGGCATTTAAGGGACTGGGTGTTTTTGTTACCGGCAACGACCTGGTGCTGATTACCAATTATTACGGTGCAGACCCCGCCGTGAATGCCAATAATCCTGGCACCAATGGTGTAGGCGGTTATGGTATGGATCTGGGAAGTGCCCCCACCCCGCTAAGCCTGAGTTTTGGCGTAAGGGCTAACTTTTAATTATCGTTCATAAAAGGCAAATAAAAATATTGATATGCGAAACATTATTATAAAACCACTGCTTTTCACTGCGCTGCTGGGCCTGCTGTTTACAGCATCCTGCAGTAAAAAAATTGAAGATGCGTATTTGAATCCCAATGCACCGGTAAAAGTGCCTGTGGAAACCATACTCCCGGGTGTGCTGGGCGGTTTTACCGCTTTCAACTCTGCAGCCGGCACCAATTTTGGCCTGCAGATAGACGATGTATTGCTGGGCCGTTACATTCAATACTGGGGCTCAACCACCAATAACGAAAACTATGGCGGCATGGGCGGTACCGTAGGAAGTGATAATACCGGTGGCATCTGGGGAACCGTTTATTTTGGCCAGGGTGGCAATGTAAACAAGATCATTGAATGGGGCATTGAAGACCAGAAATGGGATTTTGTGGGCGTTGCCTATGCCATCAGGGCATGGGGCTGGCTGGAACTGACCAACCAGTACGGAGATGCCATTTTAAAAGAAGCTTTTAACACCAGCCAGTCGCAGTTTAAATATGATACCCAACCAGAATTTTATGACAGCTGCAGGGCCATCTGCTTCCGTGCGCTGAACTACCTCAACAGAACAGACGGCAATGTAAATCCTGCAAACCTGGCCATCAGCGATGCCTACTTTAATGGTGGCGATATCAACAAATGGAAGAAATTTGTGTACGGTATACTGGCGCGCTCTTTCATTGATTTAAGTGCCAAAGGAATTTTTAAGACCAATAATTATGCAGACTCCGCCATAAAGTATGCAACACTGGCCATGAGCAGCAACAGTGAAAATTCCATGGCTACTTTTTCTTCTGCCAATTCCAGCAATGGATTTAACAGTTATTTCGGACCCACCCGTAACAATATCGGCACCATCCGCCAGGGCGGCTATATTGCAGACCTGATGTCTGGTGAGAACGCGGGCGCTTTCAAAGGCGCTTTTGACCCCAGGGCCTGGTACAAACTCAGTGAAAACGCCAATGGCACATTTAAAGGCGTATCGCCATGGCTGGGCGTAACGGAATACATGACTGGTGCAGTACCCACCGCCAACTATCCCAAAAACTTTTGGCGCAATGCTTCTGCGGTGCAAACAGTGGGCACAGATGACAGTGCCCGTTACGTATATGGCAACCGCGGACCATGGCCTATAATGACGGCTTCCGAAATGCAATTCATTAAAGCAGAAGCTGCTTATCTGAAAGGAGATAAAGCCACTGCACTGACAGCCTATACCAATGCGGTAAGCCTGGATTTTGACCTGATGACCACCGCCTTCACCAAGGGCATTCCCGCAGGCCGGGCCATTACACCTGCCAGTAAAGCTGCCTACCTGGCAAAAACAGCTGTTATACCAGCTACCGCCGACAGCTTAACGCTCAGCCATATCATGTTGCAAAAATACATTGCTTTGTATGGCTGGGGTACGCACCAAACATGGACAGACATGAGAAGGTATCATTACAATTTTGACAAAGACCCGGTTACCGGAATACCTGTATATGTAAATTTTGTTACCCCGCCTACTTCACCCATCAATTACCTGGTATCTACCAATAATGGCAAACTGGTATACCGGTGCAGGCCCAGGTACAATTCAGAATACCTGTATAATATACCGGAATTAACAAGGATTGGGGCTACCAACCTGGATTATAACACCTACGAATGCTGGTTCTCTCAACCATAATTTATAAACAGGAAAACTTTACAATAATGAAACTATTCAGCAATATGATAAAGGGCATGGGGTTACTGGCGGTGTCTTTTCTTTACCTGTCCTGTACCCGCGATATTCCCAATGTAGCAGCACTGACGGAGGGCAACAGCAATGCCGCTACCATGCAGGTGTTTAATGCCACGGTAAGGGCCAGCCGCAATTATGTGTATGTAGACGGCACGCCGGTATCGGGCATTGCGTTTGCCTATGGCGGCGTATTTCCCGCCACCTCCTATTCATTTAAAATTCCCGCCGGGCTGCGGGCTATATGGATAAAAGACACCCTGCCTGCTACCACACAAACAGCTATTACTTTTTCGCAGGTGGCAGAAGCAGGCAAGAGCTATACCGTTTTTACCTACGATACCATTACCAGCGCCAAACAGTTAACGGTCACCAACAGCATTGTGGCACCTGCAGATACCGCGGCCATGCTGCGTTTTGGCAATTTCATTTACAATACCACAGCAGTACCCGCTGTAGATGTATACTCTTTCCGCAAAGGAAATGCGGCACCCGTTTTTACCAATATCGCTACCGTACAGGTAACCGATTTTATCCGCTACCCTTCAGGGCAAACAGATACCCTGTATGTATACGCCACCGGCACTACCAGCCCTTTGCTGGTAAAACAACTGGTACCCAGTTTAACACCCGGCAGAAGTTATACCTCGGTGTACAATGGAAGCTTCAAAGGCACCAAACAGATAAGCACTTTTGCTACTTACTGATGCAGCACCTTGTTATAACTAGCGCCGTTTCCAACCCCAGAAACGGCGCTTGTTTTTAGTATATAATTGCGTGTGCCATGGCATTTTAAATGCCTTTAGGGTCTCTACACAACCAGCCGCAGACACCCCGCAGCACATTTATTGGCACAATAGCTGCCACTGGTTATTTAATTACCCAGGCGCAATAAATAACCGTATGCAGATCAAAAATAAACTCCGGGGAATCCGGACAGTACTAGGCACATCTTTCAGCGGTTTTGCGAATGATAAAATACCCAAGCTGAGCGGTTCTTTGTCCTATTATATGATATTTTCCATGGGCCCGCTGCTGCTGATTATTATCACCGTATGCAGCGTCTTCTTTGGGCGGGAAGCCATTGAGGGCAGCATCTACCGGCAGCTGGAGAATTTTACCGGGCACGATACCGCCATCCAGCTGCAGCAGATTATAAAAAATGCCTCCCTTAGCGGTAAGACGGCGCTGGCCACCACCATCGGTATAATTACCCTGCTGGTGGGCGCTACCAGTGTCTTTGCAGAGATGCAGGACTCTATTAACATGATCTGGGGTGTAAAGGCAAAACCGAAAAAAAACTGGCTGAAATTTCTGCAGGATCGGTTTATTTCCTTTTCTGTGATTATTGGACTTAGTTTTTTGCTGCTGGTATCATTGGGCATATCGGCCCTTATTGAACTGTTTGCCAATTACCTGACCAGTGTCTTCCCCGATGTTACCGTAGTGCTGCTGTATGCTGTCAACCTGCTGATAACCCTGTTTATTACCGGGTCTATTTTCAGTATTATTTTTAAGGTATTGCCCGATGCAGAAATCAGGTGGAAAGATGTTTTTGCCGGTGCAGTAATGACCACTTTTCTTTTCCTGCTGGGTAAATTTGCCATCTCCTTTTACATTTCAAAAGCGCAGGTAGGTTCCACTTACGGACCGGCAGGCTCGCTCATTATCCTGATTATCTGGATTTACTATTCCTCTATGATTTTATACTACGGGGCAGAATTTACAAAGGCATATGCCATACAGTATGGCGCCCCCATTCACCCTTCAAAATTTGCAGTGGCCGTAGAACAGGTAGAGAAAGAAAAAGGGAATATT